ACAACATGCATAAAAACAAGACAGAGCAAAAGCAAGCAACAATGTACAACAAAACAGCAACAACATCAATCCACTGACAAAGAACAAATTAAAATATACCAAGAAAGAAAAGCTTGTGTTTTCCAGTCTAGCCTGTTTTCCAGTCTAGCACCATGCCCTGTCTCCAATGTGGTGGCATTTCTTAAAAATCATCAAATATAATTAATATCTCAACATCAAATTTTATTATCCTGAGTGTGTTGGATGTTTGAGGAAAGGCAGCATTGTCTTTATGATAATGAGGCAAAACATGAGTTTGCATATTTCTGGGTATTTTTAATTAATATATTAGAAGTAATGACATAGGCAATTTTTTTGGTATACTTTTCCTCTAGAATATGTACCTTTCTGCACTTAATGGAGAAGACAGACAGTAAATAGGGTAATTTCACTCTAAGGATACACAGGTATGAAGATGGTGGAAGTAAGACATATTGGAGGTATGAACTATCAGTATAGTGGTGGTTCTACTGATTGTTGAGGGAAAGAATGTGTGGCTGAGTACATACAAATGCAAGAGGAAGGAAGACTGATTCTGTAAGGAGTGAGGCAAGCAGGAGCATCTAGAAGAATTCAAAGGGGGAGCGATGGGCACTCTGCGCCTGGAGATTTGAGAATGTTGAGATGGGCAAAATATACAGCCTTTCTGAAAAGATATCAACTGAGCTGAGACAGAATGATAAGAAATCAGTAAGTCACAGTTTAAGGAAAGCGTGTACATACACCATCAGGATTGTTATTAACAACCTAAAAAGTATCAAGTTAACACAATTTTCCTCACAGAAAGTGAGGAAGTGAACCCACTTCCTGATGGAAGAGCATGGACTGCAGCACTCAATATGGATTACAACTTGATGTTATGGACTAACAGGTATGATGATAAACAGAAAAGATTGAAATTGTCAAGGATTGGATCCACAATCAATGCTCATTGAACAGCAATCGAAAGTTAAAACAATGCATTGCATTAGGCAAACCTGCTGCACAAGACCTCTTTAAAGCATTGAAAAGCAGGAATGTGACTTTGACGACCGAGGTGTGCCTGAGTCAAGCCATGGTATTTTCAATCGCCTCCTAAACATGTGAAAGTTGGACACTGCTTAAGGCAGACTGATGACGAACAGATGCACCTAAACTATGGTGCTGGCAAAGAAGACTGAAAGAACCATGGAATGTCAAAAGAACAAACAGATCTGTGTTGGAAGAAGTAAAACCAGAATGTTATTTAGGCATTCTGAGGATGACCAGACTTCAGCTGACCTATTTT